GCTGCTGGGGGGGGGCCGCCTGCTGCTACCCAGCCACTCGGTTGCTGTTGTCTCTTGGCTGCCCTGCCCAGCTCCGCTGGGTCTCTTGCAGCTGGACCATCACCACCACCGCATGTCGGACGAGCAGCGCCGTGTGAGGAGCACGCTGCAGGTCCGGGCTGCGCCCGCATCCCGCACCAGCAGCGGATGGCAGGACTTGCGCAGCAGCTGTGGGGTGGGTTGGGAGTGGTCCACCCCGGTGCGCCCACGAGCGTGGCGGCGATTCTGCAGTCCCACGGGCTCCAGTCTTTGCGGAGCAGCGTGCTTGCCGCACCCCTTTGCTCCTGGGTGCGAGCAGGGAGAGAGATGACAGCAAAGCCACCTCTGGTTCCCCAGCCATGGTCTGTGACAAAAGCTGGGTGTCAGAATGAGCTCCAGAGCAGGGCTGGTTGGTGTTGAGGCTCAGTTTTATGAGGCACGCCGCTGCCGGTTGTTTCATGTTGGCGAAATCAAGCAGACTGCATCTTAGCAGCTCAGGTTTTGCAGGTCCTCTTTTTTGAGGCAACCAAGAAACCTGACCACTGAACCTGGGCAGCTGCCTGCTTCTGTAGGCAGCAGAACGCCAGTCAACAGGACAATGCCTTGTATCCAGCTGCAGATGTACCTGGGTCTGCACTGCTTTGCTGAACGCTGGGATGGCTTAGACGGGGAGAAGCACTGCGTTTTGCTGCCCCTGCTCTAGCGTGTGTCCTCTGCAGTGGGATGGGCATCTGCGGACAACGACGACTTAGTTTCCTTTACCAAAGACCATCCAAGAGGGCTATCTGCTGATGTCTCCACTCTCCACACATGGCACAGAGGCCTCATACCAGCCCCACGGCAGCAGGTCCCACAGGATGCCCACGATAAAGCAAGTCAGGCGAGTGAACACATAAGTGCACCATGTGCCTCACATGAGCCACAAACCTCCCTTTTCTCGCTGCCACCCCTCACATCAGAAAGGCTCTGCTCCATCTGCAGGTGCCACCTGCCTGGTCACCGAGCAGTTCACAGATTTGATCCGAGAACTGGGTGTCCCTGCCCACTGATGGAGGACTGGTGATTAGTTTTTGTATTGCATTTTTTTGTCTGAGAATTAGTTGCTTCCTAATTCTTCTTAGTTATAGGTGATTTAGGGAGGAAAAAAAAAGTTCATTTTTATAGCGCAACAGTAATTTTCTTCCAACATTAAACAGATGGGATAAGGGGGAGAATGTGACGTGATAAATTTGTCAATGTCTCTCTGTGAGAGACTGAGAGTCATAAACAAAAGTGAAAAACAACTGGTCATAGCAAACCCTTTTCCTTATTTTCCACTACGTTGCCAGTAACTAACTGTACACTGACATTTTTTCTACCTAATGGAAACTTAATGCAGTCAGCATTTGAATTTTCTTTACTTGTTTAAGGCAGGCAACATGCATTTGTCTTCTAAGTCCTCTACAGATTATCTGAGGTAGTCTTCCATGACTGTTCACGTGAAAGTTCTGGTGTCAGCATTTGCCTGTGGGACAGAGCACATAAATATATAGCTTGGCAGTGGAAGCTGTAATTTTCTCCACTGTGGTCATCTGTGACTGAGAATTTGCAGAGCTGCACTCTTAAAAGAACAGATTGCTGGGCTTGGCAATCTGGGAGACAGTTCTGAAAAACAGAGCCAAACCCATAATGCATAGAGATGGAAAA